ATTTGATACTCTCTTTAAATATTATGTACTCTTGTTACAAGTAATTAAGCAACTGCTCATTCCCCTTTCCAATACATAAAGTACATAATCATAATACAACTCCATGAATAACAATGTGAAACTACTAGTACATAGTTTAGTCGTGTTGGTAATAGGTTATGTAATAGCCAGAGCTTGAAATCACAATTACTATAAAATTGTACTTGAATATGTACTGTGTCCTATTTTGTCTCAATTTGAGAAAAAATTGAAATAATGTATGATTTTACAAGCCAGTTTAATGGTATTTAAACATTGTGTTCATCAAGTATGGTGTCTGTTATTTCAAGCTTTGTTGCTATGCATGTAACTTTCCAAAAATGCTATGTGATATATATATATATACTCTGTCATTTAGTGAAACTGAGGTGACTATGACACAACAAACTCGTTTGCTAAAGCTAGAAACTGATGTTTTAGAATTGAAGTCTGGAGTTGCAAAATTGAGTTCTGATGTATCTGAAATAATGCATTCATTGAAGAAGATTACTGAAAGACTTAAAATTGGATAATAACATTTCTGTGGCTTACTTTCAATTTTAAAATAATGTGTCTTACGTCTTAAGTTATCTTATCTGTAGTCATAGAAACCACGACACCTTAAAAGCCAAACTATGGCAAGCTGAATGGTTCAAAATAATGATTTTGTATCATTGTGTAGTGGGCAGTAAAAAGTATGCCAAAAAGTATGTAGACTATAATAGCTATTAAAGTGAAAGTCAACATGTATTATTGCTACACTCTTATCACACTAGCAAGGTCACACTCTACACCTTATGGACACAATGTTATACACTGAAACACTCCTATCAACACAAGCAAGAGAGGCAATCTCCCAGATGATATAGCTGGAAATCACATTGGAAAAAAAATTAATGGAAATCCCAAACCCCAAAGTACATGTACCCACATCATGCAAGTATTTCCATGCACTCATGTCCAAGTTTGCCATTCCTATTAAACTTATCCTTTTTGGGACTTATCCTTGTTGGGACTATCTGGTATGAAAGGACTGTCCAGTTAATGCCCCTGTTATCTTCAGACTGTCCTATTTGTCTGAATGAATCCACTACTTTTCTGACTGCATGCTACTAACATCTGTTGGCAATACTTAATTGATTATGATAAAAAATGTTGCCAGAAAAATTTGCTACTAGTGCTGCAGTGAGGTTAAATGTTAAATCCAGTGGTCAAGATAAGTTTCTCAGAAGTAGCTTGTAATTGCTTTTTAAGCCCTGTAAACCAATAAATGCCTTAAACTAAGTTTTCAGTCTAAATAGTTGAAACATATATTGGTGACAATATGCCATATATTTTGCGGGGATTAAATTTTGCGATTTTCGCGTTTTGAAAAAATTCACCATGAACAATAAACAATATAGCATGGTAGAGTATAAAATTTGCCACAATCTGATGTCCTTTATGAGTGCATAGTGTTGCAAGAACGCATTTGGCTCACTATTTTGTCCAAAAAAAGTTCAGTGTCCTTGATAAAGGAATTGGTAGTAAAAAGTGTACTATTTGGAATGATATGTCACTAAATACTTATATTCAGTATTATCTGACTCAAAAGCATTATAAAACAGTTGTTAATGTGCCTAAATATCTTCATTATTTTTATACATGATTATGGTGTATGATAATTAATTTACTGATATAATGACTTGTCACAGCATTACTGACTGCTCAAGCTAGTTCTTACAAATTTCATTCCTTTATTTTCTAGAAATAATATATAATTATTTTGGAGTCTCATCACCTCATTCTTTTGAAAAATGCACTTGCACTGTTGGAGTTCATCTCATCTCATCAGTGCAGTGGACTGCCACAGCAGACTAAGATAATCTTCATGAACTGCTTTATGCATGGTGGTACACCATCTCTGCTGAAAATAATATTGTGTGCTACATATATATTCATTCATACATGTATATTATAACTATAAAACCATTTAAATACAACTCAATTTTGTAGTAGTATGGCTGACTTCTTTGACTTTTGCTAGAGCACACATACAAGCACAGACACAATTGATATTTTGATAAATAAGATCACCATTAATAGTAGGTGAGGTACAGCTGTCTACTAATTCCATACATTTGCAAAAACGAAAATGGCCCACTATGATTCCATTGCCTAATTAAAAGTTTTCCTTAAGATTTTTCTAGTTAGACTGATTTAATACCAAGTTTCTTTTGAGATTTTATTAATAAAATTTTTTTTAAATATTGATAAACAGCACTACCTTGTATTGACCAAGTTTTATAGCAAAATAACATTGTACATAGAAGTTAAAAAAGTAAGTAAGTTACAACTCTACACACAAATATTCATGAGGCAAGATGTGCATTAGTTGGACTGCAAATAAAACATTGAAGATTGTGACAGTTGCAAGATTAATCATCTTTCTAACTCCGCTCAGTCGCCTTATTATGACATAGATGTAAAAAAGGATACACCATCTTCCATCATTTGTACTACACTGTACAGGTAAAATTATACCAGTAGATATACTTGAGGAAGAACAAATACAATTAGCAAAATATAAATATGCATAATTAGGTCAAGTACATGTATAGGAAAATAAGAATCAGGAGAGTGCATTATCTATACAAGTATATGTACATATAGTCTACTAACTAGAGCTTTCATTGCTTCTCTACAAACTCTTGACTCAAAACTCACACAGCACTTTCGTACAATATATACCTTGACATCGTGATCACTGTAAGTAATGAGAAAAATCTACTGAATTTTATTCTTCATGAGATTGAGACATATCTGATCTGACCATAGATATATAGATGTAAACTCTAATATCTATGATCTGACATATCGTGAGTCTACACCCGGTTCATAAACTTTCCGGGTCAATAATAGACCAAAAAGTTTGAAACTCTCCCGTCACTTGTGACCATGAAAGATCTGATTATATAAATAGTTAATCTGGTTATAAATAGTTAATGAAATGTCATGGCGACTTCAAGGAAGGAGCCTGTGAAATTGAACCCTTTACTCCTGCTGTCGTCTTGTAATAGGCAGTTCATTTATACAGGCAAGTAGATTGATCTTTAGTTGTATAATTTTGGCAATTGCATGATGATACATAGCGATTTTGTGGTACTTGAAACCACTTTTCATACTGCTGGGGGGGGGGGTTCTAGATATTTAGAGCTTTTTGAATGATTGAATCACACTGATAAATTAATTGCTTACATATGCCATTATAATTGTTATTGCCTTCATCACAAAATTTTGTACCATTATAGAATAAGGTTCCACTGTGTGCATAAGATTCATCATGTTTATTTAGGCCACTCCAATTTGATTCCTTGTTTCCCCGTTACCCACCCGCATTGCTATTCATTATTGCGGTTTTGCATTGATTATACAAGCAATTTATACAGCTGATAATGAATAAATTTAATGAAAATGAACAAACCCGCCCGCATCAGGCCCGCCTCTGTAATGGGAAACTATGAATCTTATTGAAGTGGCCTTACTATAATAGTATGACAATAATTATTCCTTAAAGCTGGCATGTTGTAATGTTATGAGGTTTATAACACGCAGTTTCCCAATACATATATTTATTCCTAATAGGTACGTTCTCAATTTTGTGTTCATTGATCTGTGTCTCCTGTCGTCCCTCTTCTTGTATTTCTCTCCTCCTGATGCTAACACAGGCTTGGTGTCAGTAAGCAAGTGTAAAATGTCTGCATATTATGCATGTACATTAATGTATGCATGAACACTGTTATTATTTTTTACTAGACGAATGTAAAACATTAAGGGGGCAAGCCTAAGCAAGCAAAGCAATGTACATACCATGTAGCTACATTGTGTATCAGGACACAATGCACACTACAGTCCATGTACATGTATGTACATTAAAGGGGAGAGAGGGAGAGAGAATGGGGTATCGGTCTTTTTGGTCAGTAATTTGATGTATCATTCATTGTGTAGGAGAATGTCACCAGTACTTTACAGATGATGAAGAGAGCATGACAATGTCCAATTAGAACAAGTAAGTGTTTAAAGATCGACATCACTATGTATAATTAATCATCTCTTTCTGTCTCTCTTAGTACAAAGAATTTATCATCAAGAAAGACTGCAGCATTAGATATGGATCAAAACGAAGACAAGTGATTACTAATGCTGTATTGCATATTGCATTGGCTGAAGCAATGATGATGGTAAGTGGTGTGTAATGTACATGTTAATATAGGAATCAGCTCAAGCTTTGTTTGTAAAACAAGAACATGCATGTATACATTCACGTATCATAAAAGATATAGAAAATGAAAGTTTTCTCTAAGCATAATACACCTTGTATTATAGTGCAGGATGTTTGTCTATACCTGTACATATCCCTTGGCAACATTTTATATCTTTTGTTAATTTCCTTAGATCCTCATTTATGTTTTTGTGTACATGTATGCTCTTCATTTGCTACTCTCTTCCACACCTCTTAACATTCACTAAATACAATCTTTGCGCCCATGCCCTCTCCTAATCTCTCACTCTATTCCTCACTGTTCCTCCTTCTTCAATTTCCCTGAATATTGTCTATTCTCATACACTCTCCCCTCTTCTTCCCTATCATTCCTCTCTTTATGACTTTACTATTCTACATCTCTTTTTTCTCTACATCTTTCTCATCTTTGCTCCTGTATGCCTCGAGAGTCGAGATCTATCCTATATGTGTATAATTTTTCCTCTTTTTTTTCTTTTCTACATCTACATGTACATGTACATTCTTCTCCCCCATGACTCTCTCTCTCTCTCTTTTTCTCTCTCTCTTTTTCTCTCTCTCTCTCCCCCACTTTTAGTCTCTCTCTTTTGCTAAAAGTATCCCTCACTTTTAACTCCACCTCTGCCTTGTTTCGATTCATCTCTTTTGTCCTATATGATGTCCATTCCATATTCCATCATTAAATTTCATTCCTTCTCTCTCTTTCTCACTTGGTTTGTCTATGTCTTTTAAGCTTTCTCTCCACTCTAATTTGCCTAATTTAATGTTATAGAAAATAGTATGTACCTCTCTATCTTTTTAGTGTTTCTGTCTCTCTCAAGGTTAGGATTTGCACTACTGACATAAATCTTTCATTCAAGTAAGGTCAATAATATAATGTCCTCATTTCATTTTTTCTCTGTATGATTAGAGTGATATTCAAGGCAGACAAGAACATATGAATATATATAACATTTATGATTGCTGTGCTTTACTTTCTGATTTTAGTTCTTAGTAAAATTATTAAAAAATACTTTTACTAATGCAGCGCTTGACATACAGATGCAGCATAATGCTAGGCCATTTAAAATGCTAGAAAAGTTAGAGGCAAGGTCCTTTCATTTGATCTGAGGATGAGAAAATTACCTATTGGCCCAATACAGAGGTTTTATGACGTTAAATTTTTTAAACGTAATTTAGCAGTCTCATTCTGATAGTTGTCTGACATCAATAGGTAGGCATGCACAATTACTTATTATAAAAAATTAAAGTACTAAATTTGGTTGAACAACTACACAGATAAAAAGCTAAACATATTTTCTGCATACTTAATGAGGGGGTGAGGCTGAAGGTTTTTAGCTGAAAACTCCAAGGTTTTACATGAAAAGTCCAAAAAACTGCAATGATGTCCTTAATACAAAAATTAGCTAAAGCTACAGCAAGGTTGAAAGTTAAATGCAATGGTCCAGAAAAATTTGTCTCAGAGTAATAACTGATTTGCTTTTCAAGCCTTGTAAATCAATAGTAACTGG